CCTCATTCCGAAGTTTTGTGAGGAATACGGGGAAACTTTGAAGTTAGTTGAGCAACAGAATAAGTTCTATATGTATCGTGCACCTAAATTGCCCCGTACTAAGTTAATTTTAGAGATATCCAATGACAAGCTATATGTCTTGGTAAATGTTATGACCCTGTACGTGTCTCCGAGTCATTTAGCTTTTGCAAAGCGACCCGTGATCGAGAATTTAACAGTTGAACGTGGTATAATTTCGTCTGTGTTGAATATCGAATGGGGTGATTTAAAATACAAATTGCATGGTGTAGAACGTGCAATTCCTTTGCCCAAAGCCGTTAAGATACCAAAGTGGAAAGATAGTAAGTGCATGGCTGTGGAAGAGGTAGGGAATTATTATAGATTATTGGTAGGTCTATCTGAAGTATATACCGAGATTCCCAGGGATGTAATAATTATGATCTATGAAAAATCCCTAAATTGAATGTCACTTTTTTATGTTTTAACAACATAGGATTCATGTCAATAAAGAATTATGCTTTTTCATACCATATAACCCAGCAAAATTTCCATTTTTCATATGAACTCCCATCTCAAGAAATTCTAGTGACCGCATTTGTTTTGTTTTTCATTTTTGGTAACCGGTAATGAAAGTAAGATCTAACCTTCTTAAATGAAAATTACTATATATAATATACAAATGTAATAATATATGATTATAAATATCATATTTATATATTGTGCTATTTTTTATGAATTATTTATGATTGTTTTGAGATCTTGTGCTGAATGATATACAAGTCGTTTAATTGATCAATTCGATATTATATTATTAAACCCGTTTGTGCAATATTATATGCCATCCAAATCATGCAGCATGAAAGACATGTGGTAGTTGCAAATTATTAAAGCAATATCTTTTCTCAATGTGTAGAGATTTATAATATTACAAATATTACCGTATCTTTTTCAAATTATAGGTATCCGTTTGTGTCAGTATCTACACCCTGACTTCAATAGGTATCGATCGTTATTATGCTGTAGTTCATCCACTAAAACTTCGACCGTCCAAGTATAGAAACCGAATTGTTATATTAATAATATGGGTTATATCCGTTTTGAGTGGAATCGTACAACTGGTGATGGGAGGAACGAAACGTTATTTCTGGGACGGTCAATTCTTTTACACATGCAGCGAAGGATGGCCAACTGAGACGTCATCAGTTGTTTACGAAACGTTCGTCATGTGTATGACATACTTCGTTCCACTACTGGTATTGAGTTTTACGTATATCAAAGTTGGTTGCAGACTCTGGGGTCGTCAACTACCAGGCAACGCCAACCAAGCACGTGATCGTTCTCACATGCGATCAACACGCAAAGTAAGATTTTGATAAACGATTTTTAAAATATTTTTTCTAATATTGATATGCAAAATATCCACAAAACGTGCTCAAATTCTAGTAATGTAATGTGTACATTTCAATGGATAAATGATTACATTATTATCGTTACATTACATTATTATCGACAGATTATAAAGCAAATCAAAATACTGCAAAACCAGATATTCTGTTGCATAATTGTACTATGTTATATGTTAGGACGATTGATACACGTGTGAATATGATACCTTAAACCTTCACACATCAATTGAATAAGACACTGCTAAGCGAAAAAGATTATTACCGAAGTATTGTATTAGTATCTATAATGGCGTTCATTTTGAATGCAGATTGGAAGACAGATATATTACATATGTACCTTTGCCTTGCCAAAATGAATTGGTGCTGACATGTGTCCAGTATTATACTGAGTAGATGTACTTTTGAATTAATATAATTTCTATTCATTTCAATGTAGGTGATTAAAATGTTAGTCGTGGTACTACTAATGTTTGCCTTATGCTGGATACCGCTACATATATTCAATATCATTCAACGCGTACATCGTGATCTCAAGCAACACGAGATTATAAGAGCTGTTAATGCCATTCTGTTATGGATAGCCATGTCTAACAGCTTTGTCAATCCTATCATTTACAGCTTTATGAATGACAGTTTCAGGGTGAGTGTTTAAATAATCCAGTCACATCTAAACACCATTCTATATCATATACATTATAATTCAAACTCGATGCGTGTTTCGTACTCTGAACAGACATGGATCTAGCAATGATGAAACGCGATATAACCAAAGCAGTACCACTATGTCTATTTAGGCTGTTTTGATGGTGAAATGAATAAACTTTTATTTGATATTGCCGCTATTCATGGCATGCAAAACTCACACACTTCTGGTGTAACACCGTAAATGTCAAACATATCAAAGAAATAGTGTTTTGAACAAAAATGTTTGCATTATAAGCAAGAGTTCACCGTAGTCATTTTAGGTAACAATCTTTTCTCATCTTTCCATATTGTATATTGGTACTGTACATACCGAATATAACATATATGACATAAGTTGTGTAAGACTTGATGAAGGAATAGGTAAATGTGCATGCCAAAACATTACATAATATTTTCTGTATGAACTAAATTAAATTAAATCAAGTTCCCAAAATAGTGAATTCCGTCTAGATAGCCGTCGAGTTTGTAAGTATAGGTCATTCCGTGCATTAAACATGCTACATTCGACGTCGCACAGAATCAGAAGACCGTTTTGAATGGTACCGTTTATGAACTGAAAGTGAATATAAAAAAAAACTAGAACGTCTAGTTTCAATCTAATTTTTGCCTAAGTTGTATTTTAGAGAAAAGTTGTATTTTATATAGGATGTATAAATATAAACACACCTGTATTTTTGTTTCTATTTCAGAAAGAACTCTATTTTCTCTTGTGTTTTTGCTGTCGATGGCGAGGTAGAAAACGCAATATAAGTTCGTCGCGTGCGAGGAAGTTTAGGCTACAGCAGAGATCGCAAAGAAATGCATATTCCACAGTGACTGTATCATCGAAACTGACACAATCCGGCCCTATATCAAAGAGAGAACGTGCTAGTATAACCACCGGTGAACAAAATGAAAGAGAAAATATAGAAGATTGGCTAGTGATGAAAACTAACAACCTAATTATAACTACAAACTAGGCTACGCAAATATTACAGTTATTGTTTCATTCGGAAGGAGATTATCTTTAAAAATTTAAAGTGTTTTAAGCAGTTGCTACATGTTACTCAAATGGTGTTACATTGCACCATTATGACATGGTGAACAACAGTATGGGACGGTGAACATCCTGATACATCGCGTTCTCATCGGTCGGTTATGGTGTAGATTCCAGTTATCAAAATATGCTTTCATATGTCGATATACGAGTACAACAGAAACACAACTGAGAGCGAATCAACTATATTTTCCCACTTTTGTACGGATCGTTTTTAAAAATGAACCATAATATTCTTTCACTTCAAGAAATTCAAGTCAATTTCAACTAGATAATTTTGTGTTTTTATATGTTAATGCTCGTGACTTGGAAGCATTTGAAACATTTAATTTGTTTCTTCTCAAACGTGTCAATTATGCATGTATGTATCCCAGTGGCCTGTATTACATATTTACTGCGTAATTGTGTGTCATAAATTGCTGTAAAACAAGATGATTGTCAAAGGAGTTCTATTCATTCATAGTCGAAGTAAATTATTCTATCAGATTTCTATCATGACTTTCTAATGCATAATTTTGGTGAAAGTTGTATGGAAAATATTTATTTCAGGTTTTAAATAGAAATTATCCATTTTTTACTATTTTGCATTTCCTAGCATATATAAAAGAATAATTTAGCAATAATTCTCAGGTAGTGTTCAGCATTGATCATATTGTGTAAGCCAGTCGTCAGCTTAGTGTTTTAGTGTCGTACAATTTCAATTATGATACAAGCAACCAATACAATGTGGAAATTGTTCGCTGGAATTAATACACTACTTCGGTTAGTATACACAAATATTTCCCTATCTGGTGTCTAGAATAACTAATTCGAAAATATTGTTGTGGCAATTGATCAAATGCTCGATAAAAATAACTGATGCTATACATTGATGTCTACATACAAACATAACATCCACTTCGTACACAAAAGTGTAGTTTCAGAGAAATAAAAGTCTTATAATAAACCATGTGAAAAATTCATGTGCTAGAGGAGAGATCTTTTGATGATCATAATATTGTAATAGTGGAATGAGATATACATCAGTTATGATTTATTAGAGCGACTGATTATGCAAAACTGACTCATTCAAACCAAATTACTACTGGGACTACATCATAATCGTTAGTTAGCAGTATGTTATTGGTGGAATTAGAAATAAATTAGTTATAATATTATATAACATCTGTGTTTTTATCGAAACTTTAGTGCTTTTGGAAATATGTATATGTTGTTGAAAATTAAGCACATCGTAAACAATTACACATTTTTCAAAATAAGACTGATTTTTTACGGGGACATACATGTGTCATTAAAGCGTTTAATGATTTATGGAATAATGCAACCAATGTAATGCTAGCAGTACTAACAAACTGGAGTGGAAAAATAAAACTATACTTTGGAACTCGACCTGGGAACACTGTCAGTGGTATATGTCTTGAAATTACATTATTCAGAGAATACGTTTGTGTTTTGATATCGCGACTTTATAAAATTGAAATATTGTGTCTGTTGTCATTACGTCATTAACATCCAAACCCCCAGGTTGTAGATAAAATGTTTGTATACTCTTATATGGCCTTATTTATCTACAAGTACAACTGGAAATCGTGGTGAAGTACCTCGTTGCCTAATGGGGTTTGATACATTTTCTGAACGGTGGCAGTGATTCGAATCACATCAGAACATTCGCACATGTAATTTAAACATTACTAACAATGCTTTAACCTAAAACACCCGATTATACACGTTTCATAAGTGATTATGTATACGACAAATACACAAGTTTATAAGAGTAACTAAAACACTTTTCTCGAAAAACTGTTTCATTTTGAAACACTTCAGAAAACAAACACACATGCAATGTTTCAACCTAAAACACCCGATTATACATGATTTATAAAGTGCTTGTTACAGGGAACTTTTGTATTAGCCGCAATGCTTATTATCGAATTGAAAATGCCCACTCACGTCACCATCATCAGTAGACATACTGTGCACGTAGCGATAAACCTTTTGATTTTAGTATTTTCAATTATAAACAGTTTTTATATTCATGTATTTTGTGCGTGTGGTTACCATGTACTTGGCATATATTCATTAACAGATACAATATATGCACAAACTAGATAGCGACCTTATCAATAGTTTCAATTTCTTAGTCTTCATTTTTGTATTTTTCTATTGGCGTAAACTCAATGTTGAATGTGGTTATTAACAAACACCTGTGTGGATTTGCGATCTCATCTAAAACCCTAAGATTACATAACTATATCATTATTTAGGAAGAACAATACAATATGAAAATTATTGAACTTATAATTTAGGTTCACCCCGAACAAAACGAACATACACACTGATGTGCATATCATAAAATCTATGTTATCTTACAATTTTTGAATATTAAATGTACACTATTATTCTGTATATATGCATTCTCAATAAACAGTTATACTCTCCAGTTGCGTTCCCAATACATTCATACATGTACATATAAGAGAGGTCATGATATCTAACTTGAATTTCATGTGCATAGACGGTTACTTTATTTAACCAATAATACAGTATTTTGAGTGATTTTATACATTCATTCATTCATTTCACTCTATAATTAAGCGTAAATCAGTCTTACATTATATCGAGTAGATACATTTTAATATATACTTGTGAAGTGCACAAAATTACATCACTGCCAAACTAGAATAAAGTGCAAATTTGCTACTAGTACATGATAAACCCCATATAATGAAGTGCGTAAATCAACACGCTACATTGTACTTTATACGTATTGTAATATAATTCGACTAATACACTATATGAGTTACTTGGGTTTAAAACTGAAAATATTGCTGGCAGACTATTTCAATTCTTGTGTCATTGGAATTCATACCCTCTTCCGATATGACATATGCTTTCTTAAAAATATAATTTTCATTCTATCGTATTTTCATTATACTTTCAATTATTCTCGGATTTGACCAATCATACCAGCTTATTCCGAAAGCATCTGCATACTCTCTGTTTAAATCAGCATATTGACACTGGTTGTACCACCAGCCACTATGCTGATTGAGGGCGCAGTTTTCATTATTCGCGGTATTGTCCCTATCTTTTGTGCTAAATCTCATATTCAGATGGTGAGATAAACTATCCGGCAAACCACCGCTTATTTTCGAGCCCAACCGTAGCCTATAAAAATCATTTTCGTGACTAATTGAGAAATAATCATACACTGCGAAATCCGTTACCCCATTCACGTTTGTCAAATCAATGCGAAGTTCTTGATGGCGCCCTCTAGTGAGGCGATTCAATTTATCATTACCCAGCCAAAATTCGTCGTTGAGGTCTCCAAAACCTAATTTGTAATCTTTCCAGTCGCGGAAGAATTCTACAGATCCGTCTGTGCGACGCTGGAAAACAGTGTATCCACCACCATCAGTCTCCATATCACAGTTTACGTCAAATGACCCATGACCTGTTATAGAAAAAAAAATACTGTGAATGAGCACACTCTATAGTTGTGAAATTACGACAAGATAAACGTTACAATGAAGGGCGGTGGTCGTCGCGCTGCGCATGTAGACATGTGTTGATAAACATTGATTTTCCCAAACAATTCAATGCGCTATTCTAATGGAAATCACAACTATGAGGTTGACCTGGGCGCGACGCGCATTAATTACCGCCGGTGACTCCTTCGATACATTCCAATCATCTAAAAAATACAATTAAAGCTTGGTAACGTCTCAGTTTGTACTCGTTGATCTGCATAAATGTCAAAGTCGCCATCTTTGTTTATATCAGACCCATATATCTTGCGCATGCATTTATTTTATTTTATTTATCATTGTTTTTAAAATGGCACATACATGTTATTAGATCGTTGTGCATACATCATCGCCTTGGAAATAAAACAATCCTTACCGTCAGGGTCGATACTGTAAACGCCACTGTACTTATAACCAAGATTGGTAACATCCATGCAATCACGTGGTACTAAAAAAGAAAGTATCTTTTGTTTATTCCAGTAATAATTACTTACGATACTGGTTGTAACGTAATACGATCTCACGATTTTGTTGATTAAAATATTTTGTAAATATCTTACCTTTATGGGTTTTACAAATAAATCTATGTTGATTATTACAATTCGCGTCATTCCAACTCCCAAATTCGTTCTTGATTTCAACACAATCTTGTTCGAGATAGTTATTTGGTTGTTCTGGAGAAAGAAGATGAATATATGGTAAGCCATATGCGTGGATTATTTTAAAAATAAATACGTTTATTCGTTTTGTGCTGAAAACACTTAGGAATACAGATGTGAGGAAACATACACGTATCAAAAACGAAACAAAGATTTAATTTTAGCAAATTCAATTGAAATTTTGATTTTTGACTTAGATACTTTATGATTTGAGTGAGTCCGTGTTTCGACAATGGAGACAACAAATTATATATGTATCTATCGGTGCTTTGTTTCATCGATAAAACAGTAAAAAAAATAATTAAAATAAATTGTTCATTTTAGCAACAAATATAAAACATGTCTACAATTTGGCAAAACGTATTAGGGGCTTGACACAAGCAGTACAATCTGCTTGTTTTAATTGTTCTTACCACATACACTCTGAAACGGTACAATAGTCATTGATACTGCTGATATTGCGTTGCTATCCCATGAATACACATTGCCAGTACCAATACAGTCTGCAAAATTGACGCCAATTTCATCTGACGTCAAGACTCTGTTCCAAAGGTTGAAAAGCGAGAATTCGCCAACAAAGGCCTGGGTGTCGACGAAACCTCCTCCAGGCGAATCCTGCTCTTGGCCAAGAATCAATACCCCTCCGCCATGAATGTACAAACCAGTTGACAGACCAGTCCCCTCAGCTGCAAGAACACCGTCCTTGTATACCTGCCATTGTCCATTGATTGAAGTCCAAGTCACGCATGCGTGGTGCCACAAATCATCACTAAGATCGACCGCTGATTGAGCGCTCTGACCGACGACAAAAGGTTTAACTGAATTGTAGTCATAAACTATGAACTCGTTGTCTGTCTGTTCCGTGGCATAGGAGACTGGTGTCCCAGTGTTCGTTGCCGATGACTTCATCCAGAAACATGTTGTTATAGCGTACATATCTGGTAATGTTTGTAGAACAGTCACATAGGAATATGCGTTTAAAACATATTTATTAGTATCTAGATAAACAAAAAAAAAGAAATGGATTACAAACTGGTTGTAAATAAGTAAAAACATTTTAGTCTTGGATAAATCCTACAAATATACTACTTTTGAAGACCAGATTGTTTTTGTTTGTTTTTGCGAATTGGTGTAATAGTTACAATATTGAAAACAACTTGAAGTTGCTAATAACATTTTTCGTTAAAAATTACAAAAACATTTTCTTAGATACGATAATTTAAAAAAAATACGAAATTGACAAATATGAGAAAGATTCGGGCAATGTAACTATGCATTCAATATCAAAGCAATCTATTAAAAATGTCGAAAAATCATCTGTTACCAATAATGTCGAAATATCATGTTACCAAAATAACAAATATTTACCAAAATTGAAGTGATAATTATCAAATGAATAAATCTGAAGAAGTTCACCCGAGGTACCTTATAGATTCAATATGAAAACCATCAGTCTTCACGAAAATTTTGAAAATATAATTTTTCAACCAAAAATAACAAAAGATTCATCAAAATAAGAGAACTGAAGATATTGCCATGGAATTGACAAATTTGGGGAGGAACAACTAAAGATACATTAGTAGTGGACATAAATCCCATAGTGGTGACGCTTTTTAAGCAGTCTAATCCCTGACAACGGTTGCATCATTGTCCATACAATATTCAGCGTTACGCCGCCTATTATATCAGGTCATATAAAATATCAAACTTTATGTCAACGATTTTAAGTTAACATCCACAGATCCTCGGACGATGACCGGCAACCAGTAATATTAACATCTCCGATCTGTCAATGAGTCGACAGTGGAGCTAAAAAATATGACAACCATGCAAACAAACATGAACAAATGTCACGAAAATAACTGTTAAAACTTAGTGTAAAACAATTTCACTACGTCGTAAATATAGTGCGCATGAGAGAATTAAATAACACAAAAAAACATAATAAATGAGCCGTAATGAGGTTAAATGCGGTCATTTCACTTTAGTATGTTTTGTGTGGATTTACAGTTGTGATAAAGTTCTTATAGTATGTGACCAGTGTTCATGGAACACATTAGTTTGATTATTTTAATGTTCCTTTTACCTCTGGTGTGACAAGGGCTCACAGAATCTTGTTATCGAGTTTGAATTATTGTACTTGACAAAAGCAAACGTTTTACCAATATCACCTGTGATGGCGCATTTCATAACATGTGGGTTCCTCTGGTGACCTTTAACCCCACCTGCCATCTTTTGTGCGTTTCTCTGTGGTGACCTTTAACCCCACCTGCCATCTTTTGTGTGTTCCTCGGTGAGTGATTTTTGTCATCCTTATCAAGTTTTATCAAGATAGTTATCCTTTACATCTCACTTGTTGAACTACTTGTACGAGTCGATAATGTGTTACTCTTTGTTGATATGTAATTTTTGGAAGTTTATGATCATTCTTTTGTATCTTTTGATATCTATAAAAAGTGTTGATGATCGTCCCATTGCTATGTACAGGCTGTCGTGTTGCCAAATACTTTTTCTTGTTTTGATATGAATGATATGCATTTTAAAAACCCCACCTGCCATCTTTTGCGTGTTCCTAGGGGTTCGAAGGAGAAATAAAGATCAGCAACGTAGAATCGGTTCATCAATCCACAATTGCAATCTCTGGTGTGTTATGATATTTTCATGTATGATCACCCAAAATTATATATACGACGCGAATCTTCGACTGACCGTCGAGAAGCCCTTCCACAAATGGTGACCCTGACGTGATTGTGGAATTACTGATGATTCGCCGACGATTTTGGTAATAGTTCTCAGTGTTGACTGTTGCTGTGTTTAGCACTTCATACACTGGACATCAAAGACTGGAATTAGGATCTGATTTAAGAAGCTCCGCTGTGTGCTGACATTCCCTGGTGAGCTGAATGAATGCGTGATCGTTGTTTCAAGGTGAAATCAAGACAAGGGATTTTGTTGACATTTTTACTGAACTTCTCAAAATTATTGCATTGCAGTAAAAATACTGAACAATTACATAGCACTTATGATATATTAGATTGAAAAACAAATATTACAAAATTTAGATGTCATACGAGTTAGGGTACACAGTTTTTTTTATGTTGTGTAACATTAACACATACTTGATATTGGTGGTGCTTATAATTTGTTAGCACAGATAGCATTTAAGATTCAAAGTAACAGGTGTCTTGGTGTAGTGACATCGTATTGTATTGTGTCTGGTTACATGTATGTTTTCACTAATTTGATATAGACACATGTAATATTATAGGTCGATGTAGAGTAGAGTAGTTGCCATTTTTCTAAGTAATTTCTTTGTCTTATTAATATCCTCATGATTAAATAGTATAGTATTTCTGCTCTTTTTTTACAATGTCAACTGTAGGTGATCTGAGTGTAGGCAATGCAACGGCACAGACAGAGGCTGGTTACATATCTACCAACAGAGGAAGGGCAGGTCAAGTGACGTTATCTGTGTTAAATGAACACGAGTTGAATAGTCCTAGACATATGCTGGGAGTGGGTGCAACTGCAGGTAACGTGCAAACTGGTGCAAGCCAGAAAGGTCAGCCAATACCCCAACTACATCATCAGACTACATACTCCACTATTAATGCATCTGGTCAGCATACCCTGTTCAGACCGAAAGATGGTTATGTTGGTGCAGGTCCTACTCCAGGTGTTGCTACGACGACAGCTGGTTATAGAAATGCTGTGAGCAAGAATGTTGGCCTGAATCCATTAGCCATGTCAACTCCAACTAACTACCCGATACCACCAAAGTTTGATATGGAGCCAAGAGTGAAAGTGGGTGGACATGACATGCCACAGTATATACCAGGTCAATTGCCTAGTAACCACAATTATAATGATACACCCTCAACACTGCCATACCCTGTTGTTAATCCAACCGCTCCAACCCATCAACCTACCTTTCAGTATAGTGAGGCAGCAAGACCTCAGGCTAACATGATCTCTTCACACCAAATCCGAAGTGTACCTCTATTCATGGGTAGTCCAGACGGTAAGATTCTGATCGAGGACTGGGTAAGGGACATGAACTATTTGTTAAATGCTGGTGCTATGTCATCACATTTGAAGTTCTTGACTATTGTGAGAAATCTTAGTGGCGAGGCTAGGAAACTTGTTCTGAATCTACCACCCAGTCAGCAGACTCCTGAGAAAGCGTTTGACGAATTATGTTCTGAATATGGTGATGTCCGCTGCTCCTTAGACCCTATGGCTGATTGTTATTCATGTATCCAAAACACTAATGAATCTGCTTGTTCATATGCAATTTCACTTGATGCTAGTTTGAGAACCATTGAAGAGAGACAGAATGGTGGATGTCCGCTACCTGACCGTGACTACTGCCTCACTCATCAGTTTATGCGGGCCTGCATGATGAAGACATTTACAATTGTGTGTACCCGATGTAGCCATGGAGTTTGAAGTTTCGCGAGTTACAAGAACAGCTGAGACGTTTATCACATGAAAAGAGGAGAGCTACAGTGACAGTGAAGCCTAAGAAAGCACTGAGTCAACCTGTAGTGATACCTGATACTGGTAAGGCATCTAAACCTGATAAAAGTAAACAAGATGGTGTTGTAAAGTCTGAGATGACTGAGGTAACAGTTGTTGAAACGAATTGGCATGCAGTCAGGAAGAGCAAGCAAAAAAATGCTGGCTCCTGAGCAGCAAATAGAGGCCATGACTTCTAAACCTCAGCCTTGTGCAACATATAGGGGTATTTCAGATTATCAGACTCGCCCCAGTCGCACTGAACCAATTACTTGTTTTAATTGTGGTGAGGAAGGACATATCAGTAGAGGATGTGTTGAACCAAGTAGGATGTAAGAGAATGGTGTTAGACATAATCCTTTAAACGAATAGAGCCTGTAATTGAAGGGCATGTTACAGGTGACCTTGAGACAACCAGCCCTACTGAGACAGTTACTGAGAAGGCATGTCTGAGCCAATCTAATGTACATGGTGTCCCGGAACGAA